AGGGACAAGGGTACAAGAGAAACAGTTATGATCCATGCGTATATGTGAAAGAGTCTGAAAAGGGAATCAACATTTATCTTCTACTTTATGTTGATGACATGCTAATAGCTTCTAAAGATAAGGTCGACATTAAGAGACTGAAACATGTACTTGGTTCTGAGTTCGAGATAAAGGACCTTGTGAACTATATATATGTGCATACATATGTATATATGTATATATATGTATAATGTATATGTATATATATGCGAATGTATATATATGTATATGTATATATATATGTACGTTTATATATATGTGTATGTGTATTGATATGTATATATATATATATATATATTTATATACATATGTATATATATGTGTATATATATATGTGTATGTGTATATGTATATGTGTATGTATATGTTTATTTTATTATTCATATATATGTATATTTATGTGTATGTATATATATATATATATTTATATATGGTATATATATGTGTGTTTATATGTATATATATATGTATATATGTGTATGTGTATATATATATTTATTATTTATTTTATGATTTTTATTTAATTAATTAATTATTATTATTAAGTAATTTATTTTTTTATTTATTTTTTATTTAATTTTTGATGTGGCGATGACATGGCGCGATGATTAGAAGAGAGGTTAAGAATTTCGTCGCCACGTAGGATTTCCGTTTGTCTACGTGACGGTAGGTATTTTTTTGCCAATAATTTAAAAATATATGATTTATTTGGAAAAAAACCAATTGTACAGGTATTATTCAGTAATTAAAAATAAATTGAGATAAGGAAAAATACAAGTATTTTACGAGGATTCTCCCTAATAATAATATAGATCGGAGAGGAATCAACACTGGACGGAGGACACAGAGAGAGGGAAGAGGAAAGAGGTGGCGTACTGAAAGGACACAGTGTGAAAGAGTCTGAAAAGGGAATCAACATTTATATTCTACTTTATGTTGATGACATGCTAATAGCTTCTAAAGATAAGGTCGACATTAAGAGACTGAAACATGTACTTGGTTCTGAGTTCGAGATAAAGGACCTTGGATCCGCAAAGAAGATCTTAGGAATGAATATAAGAAGGGATCGAGCAAAAGAAACCTTGGTTTTATCTCAAGCAGAATACTTACAGAAAGTTTTAGGAGCTTTTAACATGGAGGATGTTAAACCTGTCAATACTCCTTTAGCTGCATATTTTAGGCTAAGTTCGAATAACAATACTGATGAGTCAGATGTGAGCTTCAAGGAGACTGTACCATATGTAGGAAGTATAACGTATGGAATGATAGGTACAAGATCGGACTTGGCTTATCCAATAAGAATAATTAGCAGATTTATTAGTAACCCTAAAAGGGAATACTGAGAAGCTGTAAAATGGGTACTTAGGTACATCAGGGGCACATCGAAGCTGAGTCTAAGTTACGAGAAAGGTTCAAGCATAGAAGTGAAAGGTTTTTGTGATTCAGATTACGCTGCTGATTTAGATAAAAGGAGGTCTATTTCAGGATATGTGTTCTTGGTATGAGGCATTGTGATGAGTTGGAAGTCAGCCTTGCAACATGTAGTAGCCTTATTAACAACAGAGGCTGAATATATAGCCCTAACTGAAGCAATAAAGGAAGGTATATGGTTAAAAGGGCAACTGACAGAACTAGGTTTTAAACAAAACTCGATGCGTATCATGAAAGAACAAAACATATAGATTTTAGGCTGCATTTCATTAGGGACATAATAGCTCGAGGTATAATAAAAGTCTCTAAAGTTCATACTGAAGATAATCGTTCTGATAGACTCACAAAAACTGTTGTTGTTGATAAATTTAGAAAAATGTTAAAATTACTTCACCTAACAGGGGAGTAATTCCGGTTAGGTGGCAAGAGAGGGTTGATGGTAGGTTTGGCCAAGAGTAGGAATGTGTTGTATGTTTGTATTGCGGACAAGGTGGAGATTTGATGTCTTGCAAGCTCAGGTTGAATCATGGGAGAATGAGGTTGAAACCCTCTAAAGGCGCCAGAGGGTTCAAGGCTAAGAGGAACGACGTCGCACATGCTAAAGGAAAAGTAAAGAGGGGCATAACGGTCTTTCTGTAGAAGAATGTCTGTGAGCTCAACATTAAAGGTGGATCAGATTTGGGTATTCGATATCAATCATTGTCTTATCTCTTCTTTGATAGTTTTCATTCTTGTTTTTGGTTCTTGAAGCTTAGATCGCTTCTGTATATCTGTTCGAATACAACTCTTGGCAATCAACCCATTTCCTTCTCCGAGACATAAGCCCGGGTTAAAACTTGGTAACTGAACTCGCTAAACACTATCTCGTCTACTGTTTTTCTCTTCGATCCACATTCGCTCTCTGGGTTCGGCCGGTGATCGCAATCTCAGGGTCATCGGTACAACCTGTTCTCACGATAATTATAACCGGCTTCCCACTACAATCAGTGGCGGACTTAGAAAAAAATATAAATGGAGACATTGATTTTATATATATCATTTTATAGAATCAAATGCTATTTTTATGGAGGCATAGGGTAATTTTTTTCATAATTTTAAAAAAATTGCCTAAAAATTACTTACTTTTTTGAATTAGAGTGGGGGGTGCCCCTACAGCTCCTAACCTAGATCCACGCCTGATTACAATGTTGAATAATAATAATAATTATTATTGTGTTAAAAAATAAAAAACTAAAGGGAGAGGAGAGGAATCAGCAGTGGACGGAGGAGACAGAGAGAGGGAACTGGGAAGTGTTGGCGTACTGAAAAGAGAGACAGTGGCCGAATCCCAAGGGTTGACCGCCGTTGACTAGACAGTCGTTATAACTCACCAGGCTCGTTTTTAAATGAGGCAAAAAATTCACGTCTCAACTCGCTTGTTTTGATACTCCTAAATATACCGCAATATTGAAAGACTGTTTTGCAATAAGAGCATTGAGATATACAATTAGTCTTTGTTCTTTCGGTTTAATTCAGGTTCGATTTGATTATATTTAATTTCTTTTATTTTGATTTTTTTTAAATAAAGCTTTTTGGCTTTCAAAATTAAATTTAATTCAATATTTTTTCGATTCATTTTATTTGAGTTTGAAGTTTATTAAGAAAATAGTTGATTTTAAAAAAAAAATTACCTTTTTCGGTTTGTTCGATTAAGTTTCAATTTTGTCTATTTTGGAAAAGTTATGGATTGGATTACAATTATTTGATTTTGATCGGTTAACCTAGACAATACTCGTCGTCGTTCTAGGTTTCTCCTCGATCGGGGCCTTTCTCATAATAATAAGAGAGAATCGCTGTAAAATACCTATACTTTTCTCTGGTCTCAATTTAATACCTGTACTTTTTTAATTACTGAATAATACCTGTACAATTAGTAGTTTTCTCCAAATAAATCATATACTTTTAAATTATTGGCCAAAAAATACCTACCGTCAAATAACCACCACATAGACAAACGGAAATCCTACGTGGCGGCGAAATTCTCAACCTTTCTCCTAATCATCGCGCCATGTCATCGCCACGTCAGAAATTAAATAAAAAAATAAATAATTAATAATTAATAAATTAATTAATAATAATAATTAAATAAATAAATAAAAATCATAAAATAAATAATAAATATATATATATACACATACACATATATATCCATATATACATATATACATACGTATATAAATATATATATACATACACATATATACATATATATACATACATATAAACACACACACACATATATACCATATATAAATATACACATCCACACATATATATATATATATACATATCAATACACATACACATATATATAAACGTACATATATATATATACATATACATATATATACATTCGCATATATATACATATACATTATATATATATATACATATATACATATGTATATATATTTGCATATCAATCCGAGTTTTGCTATATGGAACTGGAACAAATGGATGTCAAGACAGCTTTCTTACATGGAAACTTAGGTGAACAGATTTTATGAATCAATCAGAAGGGTTCATAGAGAAAGGGAAGGAGAATTTAGTGTGTCTACTCAAGAAATCTTTACATGGTCTAAAACAATCACCTAGAAAGTGGAATAAGCGGTTTAATAGTTTCATACAGGGACAAGGGTACAAGAGAAACAGTTATGATCCATGCGTATATGTGAAAGAGTCTGAAAAGGGAATCAACATTTATCTTCTATTTTATGTTGATGACATGCTAATAGCTTCTAAAGATAAGGTCGATATTAAGAGACTGAAACATGTACTTGGTTCTGAGTTCGAGATAAAGGACCTTGTGAACTATATATATGTGCATACATATGTATATATGTATATATATGTATAATGTATATGTATATATATGCGAATGTATATATATGTATATGTATATATATATGTACGTTTATATATATGTGTATGTGTATTGATATGTATATATATATATATATATAATTTATATACATATGTATATATATGTGTATATATATATGTGTATGTGTATATGTATATGTGTATGTATATGTTTATTTTATTATTCATATATATGTATATTTATGTGTATGTATATATATATATATATTTATATATGGTATATATATGTGTGTTTATATGTATATATATATGTATATATGTGTATGTGTATATATATATTTATTATTTATTTTATGATTTTTATTTAATTAATTAATTATTATTATTAAGTAATTTATTTTTTTATTTATTTTTTATTTAATTTTTGATGTGGCGATGACATGGCGCGATGATTAGAAGAGAGGTTAAGAATTTCGTCGCCACGTAGGATTTCCGTTTGTCTACGTGACGGTAGGTATTTTTTTGCCAATAATTTAAAAATATATGATTTATTTGGAAAAAAACCAATTGTACAGGTATTATTCAGTAATTAAAAATAAATTGAGATAAGGAAAAATACAAGTATTTTACGAGGATTCTCCCTAATAATAATATAGATCGGAGAGGAATCAACACTGGACGGAGGACACAGAGAGAGGGAAGAGGAAAGAGGTGGCGTACTGAAAGGACACAGTGTGGCCGAATTCTAAGGGTTGACCGCCGTTGACTAGACAGTCGTTATAACTGAGACGTTTGAAGACGTTAGGTCGGATGAGGGTCGCGGAACTGAACCAGCCGCAGTTCAAGTGGATGTCCGAAATGGAGCAGCCCGTCACGCACTGGTTAGTTATTTCCACTCTGAATGTCGGAATTCCATTCGGCAATGGCTGAGTGCTCTCTTGGCTTATCACTATGTTGTTCTTCCTGCACCTTCCTCCTCCCTCCATCACTTTCCCTGCTCCTTTTTTTTCCAAAAAAAAAAAGGATTCAGTGATCAAATATTCAAAAGTTGAATCCACATGATGACGACACGATGATGTACTGTGATTTCTTACCTGTGGAGAAGACGACGGGGATGGCGATGAGGAAACATAAAACCACGGAGGTCATCATTAGTTGTCTGCTCAGATGACTCGTTCGCGAGTGACTCAGGGATTTCCACTCGGTGGAATCGAACAGACAATAGAAGCTGATGGATTCTCTCTTTCTCGGCTAGCAAATCAGAGTTATCAAAGAAAGTTTTGATAAGTTCGGTTATTTATAACCTATTCGTGAAATTCAGTAATTATTATTATTAAGTAATTTATTTTTTTATTTATTTTTTATTTAATTTTTGATGTGGCGATGACATGGCGCGATGATTAGAAGAGAGGTTAAGAATTTCGTCGCCACGTAGGATTTCCGTTTGTCTACGTGACGGTAGGTATTTTTTTGCCAATAATTTAAAAATATATGATTTATTTGGAAAAAAACCAATTGTACAGGTATTATTCAGTAATTAAAAATAAATTGAGATAAGGAAAAATACAAGTATTTTACGAGGATTCTCCCTAATAATAATATAGATCGGAGAGGAATCAACACTGGACGGAGGACACAGAGAGAGGGAAGAGGAAAGAGGTGGCGTACTGAAAGGACACAGTGTGGCCGAATTCTAAGGGTTGACCGCCGTTGACTAGACAGTCGTTATAACTGAGACGTTTGAAGACGTTAGGTCGGATGAGGGTCGCGGAACTGAACCAGCCGCAGTTCAAGTGGATGTCCGAAATGGAGCAGCCCGTCACGCACTGGTTAGTTATTTCCACTCTGAATGTCGGAATTCCATTCGGCAATGGCTGAGTGCTCTCTTGGCTTATCACTATGTTGTTCTTCCTGCACCTTCCTCCTCCCTCCATCACTTTCCCTGCTCCTTTTTTTTCCAAAAAAAAAAAGGATTCAGTGATCAAATATTCAAAAGTTGAATCCACATGATGACGACACGATGATGTACTGTGATTTCTTACCTGTGGAGAAGACGACGGGGATGGCGATGAGGAAACATAAAACCACGGAGGTCATCATTAGTTGTCTGCTCAGATGACTCGTTCGCGAGTGACTCAGGGATTTCCACTCGGTGGAATCGAACAGACAATAGAAGCTGATGGATTCTCTCTTTCTCGGCTAGCAAATCAGAGTTATCAAAGAAAGTTTTGATAAGTTCGGTTATTTATAACCTATTCGTGAAATTCAGTGAAGAAAGTTTCCTAATGTTTTACAGACATATTCATAAATATGTATAAAATATAGAATATTTAGATATATTTATATTTACATATTTATATTGTGGGATATTAACATATTAATATATTTATAGATATGTCAATATACCAATACATAATGACCTTAAACAGTTTTGGAAAATTTTCAACGTTGAGTTATTTCCATTTTGCGTTTTTGTAAGCTTAGATCTTATTATAATCATGATTAAATAATACGCGTCAAAAAGATTATTGACAGGAATCCAAAACTAAAATTTCCGATAAAGTTTAGGAATTTTTCTATAACTGAAAACGCTTTTAAAAAATATCATATAAGATGAATTCAATATATGGTGTCTGGTACATTCAGTTTACCCATTTTTTGTAGACCCAAAAATTATACATTTTGTTTTGTGTATCAGACACTTTATTAGATTTAGGTATATATTTACAATTTTGATAAAATAAAGGAAAATAAAAACAAAACAGTGAACTTTACAATTTTGACGGAAAACACTAAATTTTTATTTTTGTTAAATAAACATTAAATTTTAAGTGAGTTTAAAAAACACTAAACTTTTTAAATGATCCAAAAAAATATATAAACTTTTATGCGATTATAAATAAATACTAAACTTTTTAACTGATTCACAAAAAATATATGAAATATATATAATTGTAAGAAAAAACTAATTATAATAATTTGATGTCTTTATGTCATATCAGTTTATTTGTTTATTTTAATAATAGTCGAAGAATTAAGTGTGTGTTTTTTTTACAAATTTAAAAGGTTTAATTTTTATTTTACAAAATCAAAATTTAGTTTTTTTGACAAAATTGAAAAGTTCAAATGTTTTTTTTAAGATTTTCTCTAAAATAAATCTACACTAGAATTTTAGTTTCCGTATATATATGTTAAAAATTCATCAACTGGACTGTGCAAATAAGGGGAAAAAAGAACATTATAATGGGAAACAAACAGAATACACCTCGTTATAGGGTTTCTTCTCGATTTGGGCCTTTCGGCCCATTCAATTGCTTATTGGATTTCCCATTCTTGGTTTCTCGGCCCATTGGACTTTCACGAAAGATTGGATTTGGACTCACTGCAGCAACATTAACAACCAAACCCAATTCGCAGTTGGGATTTATTTCAATATTCTATATTTGTTACTGCAACTATGATTTTTTTTTTTTCTCGTAGCATATATATGTGGATGGTTGACCAATGCTGGTAACAACCATGAGATATATCATATAATATGGATACAAAATCATTGCGTTGTTAGATTATACATTTTATCAAAATGTAACTGTCAACAATTATTGACAGTGAGGTTAGAGATATAATTTCAAATAAAGCATTAGTAGTGACCACAAGCCGAAGATCTCACATTATCCACGTGCGTAGTTTGATAAAAAAAAAAAGAAAGAGAGAGATTATATTCTCTTGGCCCACTCGAATACGACTAGTTAGTTTTATGCTCGTGAATATATATATATATTCTACTATATCAATTCCCACGTAGACTCGCCTCTTTGTGAACGATATGAGAGAGAGAGAGAGAGAGAGAGAGAGAGAGAGAGAGAGAGAGAGAGAGATTCATATTCTATATCCTTCCGGTCCATCGGATTTAAGTGGTGAATATTGATGAATAGTTGGTATCAAAATTCATTCAGAAAATATACATGCGCATGACATTACTATATGATGACGTTTTTGTGATTAATTAAGTTTTCATGTATTATTATTAATGAGCATACAAGAAAAACATTTCTCTTATAACTATATGCCACAAAAGGAAACGACACAAGCTTTTTATTTATTACCAAGACAACGAGGTCTCAAGCTCCCTCGAACAAACATATGGAGATATTGAACTACTCACAACACCATCACCACACAATATATAGGACAAATATATATATATATATATATATATATCGTTGCATGTATGTATAGGTATAGTATCATCGATCAGAGACCGGGTTGATAAGGAAAACCGGTTTCCGGTACCCAGCTACTTCCGTCGATGAACTCGTCGGCGGTGTACGGCTCAGCCTCCTTGGGATCTGTAATTACCTTAAAGCCCTTCCACTTAACCCTATATTTCGTGTTTGCCCCTGGTCCTCTGTTCGAATACTCTCTATAAGTGAGAGTGTCCAAATAGAAGTTACTCGAGTTCCACGGGCGCCAGCCTTTGGGATTGATCACCTCCGATATGGAAGATTGCATCACGACCGTCCGTGAGTATTCCTGCCACGGACGGCCCAGATACGATGGGTACTCATCCATCACGGGCCAGAGATCCGACGTGGCATTGATCCGACAGTTCTGGATAACGATCCCTGTGTCCTGGTTCTTGTCGGTCCGACCTTGGGCCGTGACCATGTTCTGTTTACCTCGGCCAGGTATGCGCGCGTCGATGTCGCAGTTCTGGAGGACGACGGCCGAGTTTCCGAAGATGAAGTCGACCGTGCCGGCCACGAAGCAGTTGCGGAAGAACTGTCGTTTGGAGTGGACGTAGAGAGTGTCCTGATAGGCCGAGAAGCCGCAACGGTAGAAGGCGGAGTGGTCGGCACCTAACCGTATGGCCACGGCCTGGGCGTTCGCTGGACCGGCCGTGTTCTCGAACGTGATGTCTCGAGCCAGGAAGTGGTCGCCCGTCACGACTGCAGTATTATGTAATCAAATAATTTTCTAACAAGAATTAAGAAAAAAAATGGTAATCATATTTGTCCTACTGCGTAAATTTATAACAAAGTCGATGACAAAATTCCACGTGTTCTTAATTATTCGATTTTTGTGGTTAGAGGTTATTGTTGTGGACTAAGAATATCAAATTGGGCATTTATTATAAACCATGTCAATTTAAGTTATTTCATTTTAGAATTATGGACATCTTATATTTTTAATATGAAAAATTAAAAATTAAAACTCTACGAAAAAAATAGTGGCTGTAAGTTTATTATATGAACCCGTTGTTTACGACGATGTCACAAAACTTAGAAGACTTCAACTCGATTTATACGATAATTGAATAGATTAAGGTATGGTTTTGTTTCACTTACGATTATAAATTAATCAGTTCGCATTGGCTCGTTTATTCAATTATTAACCAAACTGTCCACCCAAACTTAGGAGATTCCAAATATTTGCTAATAGATTGAAAAAAAAAGGAACATACCAACTGTTGCAGAATTGAAGGTGCTCATGTTTGGTGTACCGCCGACGCTCAAATTTCCGGTGATGATCGTATTTAAGCGGCCATCTCCGACGAGCATTAACATCTTCTTTTTCGACGGAACCCTAACGATCTCTCTGTAAACTCCGGCCTTTATCTTTATCACATACCTCACCTTGCTGTTATTCGGCGCAGCCTCCACCGCTTCCGCCACCATCGTGAAATCCCCGCTCCCGTCGGCCGCAACCACCGCGTCGGGTTTTATTTCTGAAGACTCGAGAAACCGCCTGTCCTTTTCCGACAGCCACCACGGCCACCCGTCTCCGACCACCTCGGCGGCTGTCTCCGTCACCTCTTTGATCAGATCGGGAGTGGTGGAGGTTCTGGACTTTGGCTCGAAGTTGGCTATGTCGGTTTCCGTCATGCTCTTGATCATGTGGAGTATGATGCTTGACAAGCGCTCTACTTTAATCTAAGAACACATGTATCGTTAAACCATCTCAACGGTTAGATTATAGATATCATCACTAAGATACCAAATCATTTTCTAAGATATTTTTGGAGATTTGTGTGTATAACCGAATACCCACAACGTAAAAAAGTTTTGAGAATGGTTATTTGAAATTTTGAATAATAGCACGGCAAGTTTTTACGTCAGCATCCAACTGTAACAATCAACGATTAGTGTGTCGGGACCCAATATGGATAGTGACCCATTTTCTGGTAAAAGGTTACGTATTCGTTTCATATTTGTATGAAAACAGTTAACTAATCCAAAAAAAAAAAAGAAACGTACCAAACTGTCCGAGAAGATTTCGCGAACCAACTTATCGAAGGGGTCACCGGAGAAACCGTCAAGACAAGTCTCTTGATAAGTCATGGCTGAGCTTATTAGTATATTGAGATCGTGAGCCTGTCGCTGGAGATTTTCCTTCGTAGGGTACAACCGGAAAGCCTCCGCCGCGTCACGGAGATCCTCTAACCCTAACTCGATTGTCTCCAGACAGACATTAACCGCAACCTCTGTCTTCGCCGGAATATCTGACCTCGCCATAATAACGCTCTCCACGTCCACGTAACTGCGTCTGGCGGCCGCGACTGCCGCGTTCAGAATCGCAGCGATAACGTCCTTCTGCGACGTCAGCTTATAGCCGCCGGAGGAGGCTGAAGAGACGACGGAGAAGCAGAGATCCGGGTCCGGTGTCGAATTACACATGGCCCTCAACACGGCTTGGGACACCGATATCGGTTTTTTCCCCGCCGTTTCCGAAGGTTCCGGCGAATATTCCGGGGGATATTCCGACGAACGCGAAGAAGAGGAGCAATGTGGCGGCGGCTGTGGATAATGGTATGAGTTTTTTGTTGATTTCTGACATTTTGTTTTGTGCTTGTGGAGTTTCATGCAGACTGGTTACTACAGGAACAAAGATTTCATTTTATAGTTGAAATTGAAACTAAAGGTCCCAAAAAGAAACATTGCTCACGTTTTTTTTTCATGCAAATGTAACTGGAATTTCAATTTCTAGGTCCACATGAATTCTACTTATTTATACGAAATTTTTTTAAAAAAATCGTAGTCGTTGGACTATATATGTTATATATTATATATTACTGTGCGCTACGTAAGAGTGGGTTTACCGTACGGGCACAAGCCAGACAAGTGACGATATGGTGACGATATAACGTGAAATAATGGTTGATACTTACGGGAAGGAACCGGTCATACCTACGATGGAAGGGTTTATGGTTAATTTTGTGTTTTTTAATAATCATTCCAAATCAATATATTTGTTTGGGTAAAACCCCTAAAAAAACCTCCAACTTGCAAAAATATGTACAAATAAACCTTCAACTTGAAAAACTGTCATTCAATCCCCGAACTTGTAACTTATCACTGAATAAAACCTCGAACTTGCAAACTATTGTTCTAATAAACCTTTGACCGGTTTGACCACAATTTCAAACGATCGGAAATCCACATATTGACGGATTGCTGATGTCATTTTTTAAATTGAAATTGATAACGTGTATAAGGTGACATCAGCAATCCGTCAATACGTAGATTTCCGATCGCCTGAAATTACGGTCAAACTGGTCAAAGGTTTATTAGAGCAATAATTTACAAGTTCGAGGTTTTATTCAGTGACAAGTTACAAGTTTGGAGATTGAATGATAGTTTTTCATTTGAAGGTTTATTTGTATATATTTTTACAAATTGAAGGTTTTTTAGAGGTTTTACCTATTTGTTTTCTCATAATCAATATACACCTCTCGAGGCAAGAGAATCATATAGGGGTGTAAAAGGTGTTGGGCCGGACCCGCCTCGATCGTCCCGACCCGTTTGCGAGTCAAAAGTTATTTGGCTCACCCCCAACACACCATAGACCACGAGAGCTAAATACCTAATTAAAAAAAATAAAATTTAAATAACTAAAATATATTTAAAAATATTAATGTTGAAATAGAAACAATCTTATTTCCCAAACCGTTTCCAAAGCTCTTCTCCTTTATTTCTACAGCTACAAACACACAAATTATACAAAATTCTACACATGGTTTGTATTTACATATGAGACTAGCACACTTTCTATTAAAAAAAGAATCATAAGACGTGTTGTTAATTCTAGGTCAAGTTTTTTTTTTATGAAATGTGATTGAATTAGTATCCAAAAAGAGTGTTATAATATTTATAAAATAGAGGTAACTCTAAACGGGACTCCCATGAACATATGGGCAAAATTACGTGTTCCTAGATGAAGTAATGAGATACCATTCAGCGATGAATATTGTTCGTGAAAATGGAACGATGGGATTTAAGAAAAGAAATACAAAGAAAACCCGCAAAAATGGAAAAAATAAAAAGCAACGATGGTGACGGAGGATGAAATAATTGAGTCCTTTACAATGGTGGACGTGGACATTGTGAAATTTAGGGTTCGAATTCTCTCTCTCGGTAAGTATAGTACCGAGGCTTTGAATCACAAGAAAATAATGAAGAATTCTGTATGTATTTCTATAATACAACATATTACATATATGTACAATTCTGGAGAAAACAGAGCAAGGAAAGAAATATTGTCTGTACAAAGAAAAGGAAGCTAAAATAATTCAAAATAGGAAGAGAATCATTTAGCCAATAACTCCAACGGTTGTCGTCCAAAACTGAAGCCAATTCATTCCTGATATTGAGGAGAGACATGTTTACGTGTATAGGCTTGCATGGTTATCTTCGTCTGTCGTCCATGTGTCTTCAGTTAGTCTGTCACTTGTATCTTCGCTAACATCCCCCCGCAAGATTGGTCGGTGAACATCCACGAGACCAATCTTGGAGAGTATAGTTTCATAACCTTTGACATTAGGGGCCTTCGTAAACATATCGGCTAATTGTTCCGCACTTTTTGTGTATGGTGTGGTGATGACTCCTTGGGTGACTTTCTCCCGAACAAAGTGACAATCTATTTCTATGTGCTTCGTCCCCTCATGGAAAACCGGATTCGCCGCAATGTGTATCGCCGCTTGATTATCACAATGTAGGGGTATTGGTTTGTCGATTGAAATCCCGAGGTCTTCGAGTAAAGCTTTAAGCCATACGAGTTCACTCGCCGTCGTTGCCATCGCTCGATACTCCGCCTCGGCACTTGACCTTGCTACCACATTTTGCTTCTTGCTTTTCCACGTCGTTAGATTGCCTCCAATGAACGTGCAGTATCCGGTTGTTGATTTTCGATCTTGTTGATCCCCGGCCCAATCCGCATCACAATATCCAACGACATTGACATGGTTGTTCCGATTCATCCAAATTCCTTTGCCCGGAGATCCTTTAAGATACTTTAGAATTCTTTCCACCATTCTCCAATGTTGAGTAGTAGGTGCGTGCATGAATTGACTTACCTGTCCCACAGCAAAGGATAAGTCAGGTCTAGTAATTGTCAAATAAATGAGCTTACCTACGGTTCTCCGATATTGTTCGGAGTCTTCGAGTGGTTCTCCCTCCGGTTGATACTTGTAATTTGCTTCAATCGGTGTTGTCGCTGGCTTGGCTCCAAGTTGTCCTGAATTGCTCAAAAGATCAAGTGCATACTTTCGTTGGGATAGAAATAGTCCGTCATGCGAACGAGTTACTTCTATCCCAAGAAAGTACTTTAGCTCTCCCAAATCCTTAATATCAAAAGATGATTGAAGTAATTGTTTTGTTTCCATAATACCTTGCACATCATTACCGGTTAGGATTATATCATCTACGTAGACAAGTAGAACGATCATACCTCTCGTAGTGTGTGATATAAATAGTGAATGATCACTTTCACTTCTCGTAAAATTGTGGTTTGTCAATGCGTCATGGAGTTTGGCATACCATTGTCTCGGGGATTGCTTGAGTCCATATAATGCTTTCTTGAGCTTGCATACCTTGTCGGGGCCGAGAGAAGGTTGGAATCCCGGAGGCAAATTCATATATATTTCCTCCTCTAAGTCTCCTTGGAGGAAAGCATTCCTAACATCCATTTGCCAAAGATCCCAATTAAGATTCGTAGCAATCGTAAGTATTACTCTTACCGTGGGTAATTTGGCGACAGGTGCAAATGTGTCTGTGTAATCCTCGCCATATGTTTGTGTATATCCCTTTGCTACTAATCTAGCCTTGTATATTTCAATATCACCGTTGCTTCGGTACTTGATTTTGTATACCCATTTGCATCCCACCGGCTTCTTGTTTTGAGGTATCGTCACGATCTCCCAAGTTTCATTCTTTTGTAATGCTGAAATCTCTTCTTCCATCGCTCTTCGCCATCTTTCTTGGCTGTTGGCTTCTTCGAAAGTATGAGGTTCCTCTTCCTGATCTATTTTCTTAGGAAAGCTCGATGATTAGTGGATAAATGCATGTTTGAACAGAAAGATTGGATGGGATGCGTTACCATACAACCAAGTTGATTTTCCCTCACTTTGTACGATGGTTTCTTGGTCCGTGAGCTTCTTCGAAGTGTAGGCACAGTTACTTGTTGGTGAAGTTTCAGGTTTTGTCTTGGATAAGGAGCACTCATCTGATTTTCTTCTTCTTCCACCATTGGTCCCATTGCATGAATGGGCACGTGGACATGTTCTCCTGCATCTACAGAATTAGAAACTTCAACATCATCATGGATTCCACTAGAGTTACCTGTTTCGGTGGGATGAGGTGTCGCTACTTCATCGCCAGGATTTTCGGCAGGTTGTTCATTCGGTGGTCGTCGTGAGGTATCGTCCGTGAGTAGTTCTCTCAGAGTGTTTGAGTAATCCGGCGATGTATTGGTCAGATCTTCTAGTTCTTTCCATTCATTTTTCTCAAAGTATCCAACCTGCTCCATAAATTGTACGTCTCTTAATATAAAGAGGCGATGCGTTTCGGGTTGATAACATTTAAAACCCTTTTGCTTTGTTGAGTATCCTAGAAATATGCACTTGATGCTCTTGGGGTCCAGTTTGTTGCGTTTGTTTTCTGGAACAAAGACGTAACACACACACCCGAATACCTTTAGAAAATCAATTGATGGAGGAGTTCGGTTTAATACCTCAAACGGTGACTTGTCGGCTAAGATTTTGGTTGGAATTCGGTTGATTAAATAACACGCCGTCATCACCGCATCACACCAAAATCTTTTAGGCACATGACGGTGAAACATTAAGGTTCTAGCGACCTCCATGAGATGCCGATTCTTTCTCTCCGCTACCCCGTTTTGTTGGGGAGTGTAAGCACATGAGGATTGATGCTCAATCCCATGAGTATCAAAATAGTTCTTGAAACGAGCATTGAGATACTCCCCTCCATTATCTGTGCGAAGACATTTGAGAATGGCTCCATATTGTGTCTTGACATATGAGTGAAACCTGACAAAAGACTCAAACACTTGTTCTTTCGAGCTCAAGAGAGTTAGCCACGTATATTTCGATTTCTCATCGATAAAAGTAACAAAATACTTGTAGTTTTCTCGTGAATGACACGGCGCTGTCCAAACATCAGAATGAACCAACTCAAAACATGTATTATAAATAGTGTTTGATTGCGGAAATACACTTCTGCAATGTTTGCCCAAAATGCATGACTCACAATCTTTATTATCAAGTGTAACGTTTGGTAAAATGAGTTTCAAAGCTTGAAAATGCGGGTGACCTAATCTAGCATGCCAAATAGAACTAAAGGCAACATCTCGAACGTCAGAATGCGTGTCTAGGAGGTAAAGCCCATTTGTAGCTCGCCCCGTAGCAATGATGTTTCCAGTCTTAATATCCTGAAAGTATAAGCCGTTAGGACCAAAAATCGCTTGACAATTTAGATCCTTAGCTGTTCGATAAACGGACAGAAGATTGTTAGTAAAATCAGGAACATACAATGCATCAATTTCCTTATCGCAAAGTTTTAATTTCCCAATTCCTTTAACAGACACGTTTGGCCATTAGCGACAGAAATTTCCCCTCTAGCATGCTGAACATTAGATAAAAGTTTTGGATTAAATATCATATGAGATGTGGCACCCGAATCCACAATTAAAT